ATCTCGGTCTTGTCCTGGTCCATTTCTAACCGATATGAGTCCCGAGATGGAACCCAGAAAGTCCATTCCAGATGGATGACCTTTCTGGATTCCATCTCAGCCATCATCCCGGTTCGAAACAGACCGAGACGAGATGAAACCCTTCAGCAAAAAAAAAGGTTAGGGTTTCATCTCGGTCCTAAACCCACCGGGCTTAAAGCCGAGATGGAACCCTTCAACAAAAAAAAAATTAATGGAAGCAACACAAGAACCTTGGCTACTTCAGATAGAGCCGAAATTTGAAATGTTTCACACCCACGCAAAGAACGAAGGAAAAMAAAGTAGAAAATTATTCACACCAAGATCGCAAGTTCGAAATAAAAATTACCTCGATTAGGGAAGAGGGAAAGCTCTGATAGAGACGAAGCGAGGGAGACGAGAAGAGAAACGACGGAGATGAAGCGCGAAGTGAGGGAGATAGCGAGATGAAGACTGGGATKGACAACGAGATAGTCAATGAGGGAGGGGAAGGACCGAGACAGGGAGGGAAAGGAAAKGAGGGCTGGGTTTGATTTCTTTTTTTAAATTGAGGGTAACTTGGTAATTTTACCAAGCAAAATAAGGKGAGAGGTTAGAAAACTGAACTAGAGGGGTCATGAATAAGTAAATATCAAAAGGGGTCAAAAATCCAAAATGATTATTTGAAGGGGTCAAAAATCCCAATTTCCCATAACAAACCACTATGGGTTAAATTTCTTAGAAATTTGRTATTATTATTTAGGTTAAAAGAATGGTAGATTTTATTTTTATTTTGATATTATTATTTAGGTTAAAAAACACATTTGATCTCCATAGTGAAGTAACAATTTAATCTCTAAACTTTAGTGTATAATGATCTAGTCCCTATAATTTCAGTAATGTAACAATTTAGTCCCTGAACTTTAACTTGTAACGATTTAGTCTCTGCAGTTCAAAATTTGTAATAATTTAGTTTCTATCGTAACAAATTTTATTAAATTTAAGTGTCAAATTTTATCGTATAACAATTTAATATTTCTAGTTATAAACATATTTGGTCCCTCTTTAATTTATCTATATATATAAGAAACTTAACAAAAAAATTTTAAAATAAGRACTAAATCGTTACCAACTTTAAATTACAAGAGCTAAATTGTTAAATATTAAAGTTTAAGGACTGRATTGTTATCGATCTGAAAGTATAGAGACTAAATCGTTACAAAGTTCAAGACTAAATTGTTATCAAAGTACAGGGATCAAAAGTGGTTTTTTACTTGTTATTTATTTTGGTGCCAATATTTTTTGAAAGTTTATTTTCGTGTTGTGCTTTTAAGATGGAGATCATTTTGATTTTTTGTTGAAAAAACTTAACACAAATCCTATGCCCAACACAAATTTTGTACCCAATAAAAGATCTTACAAAATTGACACAATTTTTTAAAAAAATTAGGGTGCGTTGGGTTCATGATAAAAAAACATAAATCTGAAAATAAAAGTTATATTATGAATTTTTAAATAGATGCCCACTAACCCTTGCTTGGTGTCCAATTTTGAGGTGTCTCAAAATCCATGCTCCATATGATCTCTATGTGTCTTTTATTCATAAACCYCATATGTTCCATTATCCATGCACCATGTGTTGAAATCATAATGCCCTATGTGTCTCAATTTTAGACATTATTAGTGTCATATAAATCACACCACATGCTTATCCATGGCCTATAAATAAGGTCAACGTGGTGCTCAATTAGTAGAGAGATTTTGTCAGAAATTAGTGGTGAAAATTTGTGAGAAATTAATGAGAAATTTGGTGGGAAATCAAGTTTGAAAATTGGTGAGAAATGTCATTTTGAATTTTGAATTTTCTTTATTATTTGAATTGTTTTGTTTATTTTATTTCCCCGACGTTGCCTCGTTTCGTTCCTCAATTTTACAACACGTTATCAGCACGAGCCTCTGTCATTTCTCCTGTTGAAGGTAGGTTCCGAAGGTAGGTAATTTAATTTTTATTTTTCAAGTAATATGTTGTTTTCATATGTTAATCCCTAATTTGAGTTTTTTTTTTTGTGATAGTGCCACCATGACAAATTTGACCAAATTAGAATTTGCCGCTCTTGATATCAATGGCAATAATTATTTGTCATGGGTACTAGATGC